AAATCCCAGCCCCGATTCCGCCGCTTTTCCCCCCAAAATCAGCCGAGACCACAAACTTGAGGGGTGTCACTGAGCGGAAAATTCCCTAAAAATCCGCTTTTCTCCCCAAAAACAGAACCAGGGGGTCCCAGCGAGGACCTGCTGGGGGTGGGGGGACCCTCCAGAGACGCCCCCGGTTCTGATTCAATTCATTCAGGACCCCCTTCCCCTCCCCCAGAGGCTCCCCCCTAATTTTGGGGATCCCCAAACTCCCCGCAGGGAGCCCCAGATAATAATAATAATAATAATAATAATAATAATAATAATAATAATAATAATAATAATAATAATAATAATAATAATAATAATAATAATAATAATAATAATAACTATTAATATCTAATTCTAATGACTCGCTGTCAACAAGGAGGTGTAAATATAAATATATATAGTTTTATATACAATTTTATATATTATAGATATAATGATATATATAATTTTATATGTAATTTTATATATAATTTTATATATAATTTTATATATAATTGTATATATAATTGTATATATAATTTTATATATAATTATATATAAGTATATATATAATTTTATATATACTTATATATACAAGCATATATAAATAATTATGTATATAATTGCATATATATTTGCATATATAATTATATATATCATTATATATAAGTATGTATAAAATTATAAATAAATTTTTATGTCTAATTATGGATATAATTATATATATAATTTTATATATCCTTATATATACAAGTATATACAAATAATTATATATATATATATATATATAATTATATATATATAAAATATATATAAAATAAACACAAAATTTAAAAAAAAAAAAATAAAAGAATAATAAAAAAACCCCCAAAAACTCCAAAAAAAAAAAACCCCCAAACCGAATCCTCATGAATATCCGCCCAGGGCTAACCAGAGTGAGCCGTTTAAAGATGAAAGTGCAAAGAAATAAAGGCTCAATTTAATCTGCCTTAAAACCCTTCAACTTAACGTTTGTGCTGGGAACTCAGAGAGTGAGTACTGATTGGGGATAAATACATTTCTTAGCATGCCTCGGAGCTATTACACCCTTCTCCAACACAGCTCCCTATTCAACAACCACACTTTTCATTACCAGCTCTAATAAGTCTTAACATTATTAAATGCCAAGCAGACGATAGAAAGAAACAGGCGCGAGGGGTGGAATCTTATTTTTTTTTTTTTTCTTCCCGTTTTAAAAAGAAAAAGCGTTTAGTGTTGGCTTCCCCCGGCTCCCCGCCACGGAGAGAAAAAAAAAAAAAAAAGATTATTTAAAAAAAAAAAAAAAAGCAAAATTTAAGGTTTTTTTCCGCGTTTTTTCCCTTTTTTTTTCACCCTTTTCGTTGTTCTAAGAGGGGAAAAAAATTGATTAAAATTCCTCGATTCAGCGAGGTTGGGTTGGTTCTAGAGGGAGGCACTTGGAAATTAAAAATTTGGGTGGAGGGAGGGAAAAGTCTGGTGAGGTTTTAATCTCGGGGTGTGGAATCGCGGCTTTTTCCAGCAGAAATTATGGTTTTTTCTGTTTTTTTTCAGAGCAGAAATGGCGTTTTGAGGTTTTTTGGGGTTTTTTTTCTATTTTTCACCGAGCAAAAATCGCGTTCTGGGGTTTTCTTTTTATTTTTCCCCAGCAAAAATCACTTTCGGGGTTTACTTTTTGGATTTTTTTCCCTATAAAAATCACATTTTTGGGGTTTTTTGGGGTTTTTTGGGGGGTTTTTGGGTTTTTTTCCCCCCCCAAGCAAAAATCTCTCCGTTTTCCAACCTCTGTTTTACAATCGGAATCATCAATTATCTTAATTAGTCCCATTAAAACTTTCCCAGGCGTTAAAACCCTCGCTCGCACCTCGGAAAATTCCGAATTTTGGCCTCTCCTTTTCGAACCTCGACACCGGAGAAGCTCCAGACCCAAAAAAAACCCCAAATTCGCGATTTAATTTGAATTTTTTAGAGGGAGGGAACGTTTTCCTGGCTATAAAAATGATGGAATTGCGGATAAATCGGGATTTTTCTGCACGCTCGGAGGGATCGCGGCGCTCCCCAGGCTCCGAGCGAGGGAATTTGCCCAAATTTGTCCCTTTTTTATCCAGGAACGGGGGCTCGTGTTTGATTTGTCCGCAGCCTCACCCATGAAGGCAGAAAGGAGCGTTTTGTTTTGCCTCTTGACACGCATTTTTTGCGCTCTAATCAGGGATAAAAACCTCCCCGCTCCTTCATTCTTTTATTTTTTTTTTTAATTTTTAATCTTTTTTTTTGCAGCGAAAAACCAACAAAAAACCCCGCCAAACCCACCCAAAAAAATAAAGATATTTTTCCCCAACCGCGCCGCTTCATCTCCCCCAAATCTCCTTTTTCTCCCGCACATTTTAATCAAATTAAAACCTTAAAAAATAATAATAATAAAAAAAAAACCCCCACAATGACCCCGATTTCCAAATGAGCATCGCTCCTCTTGTCCCAAATCGCAGCAAAACATTTTCGCAGCGTCCAACGGCTCTGCCTTTCTGCGGCAGCCGCTGCGATAATATTACAAAACTATCTAACAGCGGGGAGTTTTGAATAATTTATTTCCTTTTCTTCCCGTCCTCGGGGCCCTTTTGTCCAAAAGTTTTTTTTCTCCTCCTGGCGGAATTTGGAATGAGAATGGATCCCTCCCCTCCCCCATCGCTTTAATTCATTTTTAAGGCGGTCTTGGATTTTTTTTTTCCCTTTTTTTTTTCCCCTTTTTTATTTTTTTTCCCCTTTTTTCTTTCTTTTATTTTACTTTTTTTTTTTTTTTTCTGTTTGCTTTTGTGGTCGGGAATCTTTTTTTCCTTACAAAGCTTCAATGGACTCGAAGGTCTTTGTAAGTGAAGTTCATCTTCAAGGTTGGGGAAAAGAAAAGGGGGGGGGAAAAAAATGTGTATCCCTAAAAAAAAAATTAATTAAATAAAAATTAAAATAATAAAAATTAATAAAAATTAAATTAAAATTAAATAAAAAATTAAATAAAAATTAAAATAAAATTTAATAAAAATTAAATAAAAATTAAAGTCATAAAAATTAAATTGAAGATTAAATAATAAAAAATTAAATAATAAAATACAAATAATGAAAATTAAATAATAAAAAATAAGTAACAACTAAATAAAAAATTAAATAAAAGAAAAGTAATAGAAAATTAAATCAAATAATAAAATAATAAAAATTAAATAAAAATAAATTAATAAAAAATAATAAATAAATAAACATTCAAAATAAAATAAAAATAAAAAATAAAATAAAAATAAAAAATAAAATAATAAAAAATAAAATAAGTAAATAAAATAATAAAAAATAAATAAATAAAATAAATCCCCTTTTCTGCTCTTTCATTTCCAACTCCCGTCATGAGGGCTCTTTCTGCCCCAAAAAGCCTCAAACTGGGGGGAATTTGGGAGCGATGGGTAGAGTTTGGAAGCGATTCCCACGCCGGGATTGGGGGAGAATCCCGCTCACCCCACAAATCCCCCCAAAACCCCAACTCCGGCTCAGCTCCGTCCTCGCTTTGCACCAAATCGGGAGAAAATCGCCAAATCCCAAATCCCGGGACTCCCAAAATCCCTTTTTTCTCCCCAAAAAGCGGCGCCAGGCGCTCGTTCCGTGCCCAAACCGAGCTCCAACTCCCGCGTTTATCCCGGGCGGATCCCACGGATCCTCCCGCAAAATTCCACTTTGTTTTTTTCCCTTCCTTTTCCTCCTTTCCTGTTGTTGTTGTCACCAATTCCCACCCCCAAACCCCTCATTCCCAGCTGGAAAAACTTGGAAAAAATCCTTTTCCATCCTCCGCTTTGACCAGGCGATAACAAAACCTCCCCGGGCCTGGCTGGGATCCTTTCCCCCTCCAGGAATTTCCCCTGGATCTCTCCTCCAGCATCATTTCTCCCGGAGACATTTTAATTTTTGGTCGTGATTTTCTTTTTCAGTTGTGATTTTTTTTTTTTTTTAATTGCGATTTTTTTTGGTGATTTTTTTTTGTGATATTTTTTTTTTCTGTGATTTTTTTTTTTGGTTGTGGATTTTTTTTTTCCCCTGGAGAATTTTTCCCGGGATAATTCAGGGGGTTCTCCGGGGGCTCCCCCCGGTGCCTGGCGGCGCTCCCGTCCCTAATTGATATTGACCGCTTCCATCGGTCACCTGTCAGCGCCGCTTCCAGGGGACCACTTAGGCGGCGGCAGCGAAATCTGCTTAACAAATTCATTTACGGCCTCCGAGGTTCCTCTTCCCCTCCCCTCCGGCCATTCCCGGTTTTTTTTTTATGGATAATTGATCCCGAGCAAAAAGCACCGACAGCTCTTCCTCCTCCTCCTCCTCCTCCTCCTCCTCCCTCCAGCGCCGCTGGCAGCGCAGGGGTTAATTTTAATTTTTTTAGGGGGGGAATGCAAAGAGGGCGGTTCTGGAATTGAGTCGGCCATGTCCCAGAGGTGTCACCTGGGTGTCACCTCCATGTCCCCCCCGATGCCACCACGATGTCCCCGAGATGTCACCTGGGTGTCACTTCGGGGTCACTTCCGTGTCCCCCCGCGATGTCACCACGATGTCCCTGAGATATCCCTGAGATATCCCCGAGATATCCCCGAAATGTCCCCGAGATGTCCCCCGCGATGTCACTGCGATGTCCCTGAGATATCCCTGAGATATCCCCGAGATGTCCCCGAGATGTCCCCTGTGATGTCACCGCAATGTCCCTGAGATATCCCCGAGATGTCCCCGAGATGTCCCCCGCGATGTCACCGCGATGTCCCTGAGATATCCCTGAGATATCCCCGAGATGTCCCCGAGATATCCCCGAGATGTCCCCGAGATATCCCCAAGATGTCCCCGAGATGTCACCTCGGTGTCACCTCCGCATCCCCCCGATGTCCCGGCGATGTCCCCGCGATGTCCCCGAGATATCACCTCGGTGTCCCCCCCGATGTCCCCCCGGGGACGCGCGCTACCTTTGTCGCCCAGGATGCCGTCGATGCTGTGCTTGGCTTTCTTGTCGCCGTCCTCCTCCTTCTTGTCGCAGTCCTCGTCCTCCTCCTTCTTGCCGAATTTGATGCGGAGCACGCGGCTAATCGAACTCACTAAACCTCGGACAGTCAAAGGCAGAAAGGCGAGTATAAGCTGCCTGCGGAAAAGTGGGAGCGCCCGGGAATTCCGCTCTTCTCCCCCTGGGAATGCACCTGCTCCGCGCTGCCCGAACCCCCCAGAGCGGGATCCGCTGCTCGGAGAGGCTGGAATCTCCCGAAATCCCGGGGTTGGCGCATCCCCAGGGGCAGCAGTTCTCTGTCACCCCCAAAATTCCCAGATTTCCCCCAGCTGGGATGGAGCTCCGGGCTCCAAAACTCACGGGGAGCCCTGAGGAGCCCCCCAAACCCCACCCTGGGATCCAGCCTCGCTCCCCATGGATCCCCGCACCTCTGGATCCCGGGATCCCCTGGATCTTATTGATCTCTCGGCCTTTATCGGGATCTCTGGATCTCCCAGGATCCCGTGGATCTCATTGACCTCTCAGCCTTTATTGGGACCTCTGGATCTCCCGGGATCCCAGGATCCCATGGATCTCTCAGCTTTTATCAGGATCTCTGGATCTCCTGGGATCCTGTGGATCTCATGGATCTCTCTGACTTTATTGGGATTTCTGGATCTCCCAGGATCCCTGGATCTCCTGGATGTCTTGTCTTTTATCGGCATCTCTGGATCTCCCTGGATCCTGTGGATCTCATGGATCTCTCTGCCTTTATCGGGATTTCTGGATCTCCCAGGATCCCATGGATCTCTCGGCCTTTATCGGCATCTCTGGATCTCCCGGGATCTCATGGATCTCTCTGCCTTTATCAGGATTTCTGGATCTCCCAGGATCCCGTGGATCCCTGGATCTCTCTGCCTTTATCGGGATCTCTGGATCTCCCGGGATCCCTGGATCTCTCTGCCTTTATCGGCATCTCTGGATCTCCCGGGATCCCTGGATCTCCCGGTGCTGCACAAATCCCAGCGGGACAATCCAGGCTCCCCTTTCCCCCTGAGGGTCTCCCCCTGCCCCAGCACCCCCCCGGCATTCCAGGGAGCCGGAAAAACTTGGGAAAAGGGATTTGTTCTCGTCCTTTTTTGCAGCAAGCGGGGCACAAATCCCTCCCCAAATCCCAGGGGTTCGCTTGGGGCGATTCTCCCCCTTCATCCCATCAAAGCCAGGAGGGTTTTCGAACCCTCTGGAAAACTTTTCCCTCGGGATAACTTTTCCCTCGGGATAACCATTCCCGTCCAGCATCCCAGGGGTTGCGGCCAAGCTGCCTTCTCACCTGAGGGCACCGTGCTGCGGTCGCAGTGCCCGTCCTTGAGCAGCCGGTCCCGGATTTCCCAGCTGAACATCCCGGGATTCTCCCGCTTGTATTCCTCGATTTTCTTCTCCACGTCGGGAGTCGCGACCTGCTTTTGTGAGCAAGGAGCGCCGGGGTGTCCCCGCGGGGACGGAGAGACGGGGAGGGGAGGGAGAGGAAAGGGGAGAGGAGGGGAAAAAAATTCAAATTTTAATTCCAAAGAAGCGCGGAGCAGCTCAGCCCTGCCCGGCCCGGGGTGGGAAATTGGGATTTGGAAATAAAGCTGGGAAAGGCCCCAAATCCTAAAAGCGGGGTGTTTGGGGCAGGGTGGGAGCTCCGGGGACACTTTTTGGGGTGTTTATGGACACTCAGGGATCTCCTATTCCCAAACAACTCCCAATTTATTATTATTATTATTAGTAGTATTAGTATTAGTATTAGTATTAGTATTAGTATTAGTATTAGTATTAGTATTAGTATTTATCCCCACACCCCGCTCCATCCCGCGCCACTTGTTGCACATGGAAACGACAAAAAAACCCCACTTTAATCCATTCCTCACCTCCAACTCTCCCAATCGGAACCTCAAAAAAAACCACCTCAGCTTTAACAAAACCCTTTTTTTCCAGTTTAAAAACCACTCGGAAAACTCTTCCCGGTTGAAAAAAAAAAAAGCGGAATTTTGGGGTGAGCTCACTCACCCTGGGTTTGCTGCCTCCGATGGCGCCGGGCCGGATGGATCCCGTCTCTTGGTAGCGGCAGAGGATTTTGGAAACGCAGCCGTGGGAGACCCGGAGCTGCCGGGAGATCACGCAGGGCCGGATCCCGTGGTGAGCCATCTCCACGATTTTGTGACGGATGTGGTTGGGAAGAGGACGCCCGTTGATAAAAACCCCTCCGAGCTGGTTCACCCTGCCCTGGCCCAGCGGGGTGGACACTGCGAGGAAAAAGGGGGAAAATCCAGAGAAAATGAAGAAATTAATTTTAAAAAAAATCCTGGGGAAAGTTAAATATTGGGGGAGAATGGTGGGGTGTGTTTTCCCCGCGCCTCCCGCTTCTCTCCAGGGGTTTGGAGGTTGGAAAAAAGGGGGAAAGTCTTCGGCTGTGCCCTGAGGTTCGTGTTTATCCCGGTGTTTATCCCGGTGTGTATTCCGAGTTTATCCCGAGTTTATCCCTGTGTTTACCCGGAGTTCATCCCGGTGTTTATCCCGGTGTGTATTCCTGGTTTATCCCGGTGTTTATCCCGGTGTGTATTCCGAGTTTATCCCGAGTTTATCCCGGTGTTTATCCCGGTGTGTATTCCTGGTTTATCCCGGTGTTTATCCCGAGTTTATTCCGAGTTTATCTCGAGTTTATCCCGGTGTTTACCCGGAGTTCATCCCGGTGTTTATTCCGAGTTTATCCCGGTGTTTACTCCGAGTTTATCCCGTGTTTATCCCAGAGTTTACCCCGAGTTCATCCCGAGTTTACTCCGAGTTTATCCCGAGTTTACCCCGAGTTTATCCCGAGTTTATCCCGGTGTTTATCCCGAGTTTATCCCGGTGTCCATCCCGACATCTCTCGGGAGATCCTCCCACGAAAACCGGGATAATAAAATCCCCCCGGGGCCGTGCGCCCATCCCCGGGAATTCCTCCGCGATTTGGGAATCTCACACCTCGGCTTCCGAATCACTCCCGGCCTTTTAAAGATCCAAACAAAACCCTCCCAAAAAACCCCAAAAACTTCCCTTTTCTCCCCAAAAAAACCTCCCTGCGCTTCCCGATTAACCGCGCTGCGCTTCCCAACAAAGTTTTGGGATTCACCTCTGAAACACCCTCGGGGCGCTTTTTTTTGGGGTGGTTTTAGGGATTTTTAGGGGTGGTTTTAGGGTTTTTTGGGTGGGTTTTGAGGTTTTTTTGAGGGGTGGTTTTAGGATTTTTTTGGGGATGGTTTTAGGGTTTTTTTTGGGGATGGTTTTAGGGTTTTTGGGTAGGTTTTGAGGGGGTTTTTTTTGCCTCTCCGGGCGCGGTGGGGCAGCGGCGCCTCCTTCTCCCCCCTCCCCAATTTATCGAACACCTCGCTCCGCCGATCCGACAGATTAATACGATTTCACAGGCTGGAAATTAAAGCGAGAAGGAGAGGTGGGGGCCAGAACTCAGCTGGGTAATTTACGCGGAGGGCCCATTTTTTAATATATATATATATTTATTTGAATTATTATTTTTTCCCCCACACATATAATTTTTTTTTTTTCCCCCCCTTAGAAAGAAAAAAAAAATCGATTCCAAAATCCGCCTGGCGATTTATCCAGAATCATGCACCGCTAATTCCGAGTCACTTTTCCCCGGCGCTCCCTGGATGTATCATTATCGCCAGATAACACTCGAGTGGCCAATTTTACATTCAAGAGCCGCTAAAAGCGCCGGCCGCTCTCTCCTTTCATTATTCCCAGTCATGTTGTGCAAATATTGTTGTAATCCTTTGATCCTTTCCCTTGCCGTCTGTTTTACTTCATTTGCTACAGAAAAGCACTTCAGCAAATCCCCGCGCCCTGTGTGTTTTGCAGCCTGCGTGGTTTTCCTCGCCTTTGCCGTTTTCCACTTGAGCACGGCCGGGATGAAATTTTCCCCGCTTTTAATAAACGCAGCCAGAGGGGTCCCGCTTAGAAATTTAATTTTTTTTCGCTTTTTTTCGCTTTTTTTCGCTTTTTTTTTTTTTTTTTTTTTTTTTTTTTTTTTTTTTTTGGGGAATGTGCCTGGAAATAATCGCCCCCCGCTCGACAAAGGCACGGAGGAGGGAGGATGGGTGACAGCTCCTCCGGCCAAGGACATCCCGGCTTCCCGCTGCTCCAGGAGCCCCTCAGGATAAAGGTTTTTATTCCCGTTTTCCCCCTTTCCCAAAAGTTCCATCCCAGCACTTCGGGTGTTTCCCCCTCCCCGCCCCGCTGGAATTGTCGGGATGTTAAAAAAAAAAACAAACAAACCCTAAAGGGGGAGAAAACGCCCCAAAAAAATCCTGCGGGATGCCCGGGAAGACTGGAAACACGGGAAAACAGCAAAGAGAATCCCGGGAATTCGCTCCGGCGGGGAGCGCGGAGGGAAGGGGCTGGGGAAGGGCTGAGGAGTTGGGAGAATTTCGGGAAGCCCCCCAGGAGCGGAGCTCAGCCGCACCCCCCGGCCCGAGAGCCCCCCGGGGGTGATTCCAGAGGGTTGGAGAGGCGCTTTCCCAAAACTGGTAATTCCAGAGGGTTGGAGCAGAGCTTTCCCAAACCTAAGGACACCCCCCGATAATTCCAGAGGGTTGGAGCAGAGCTTTCCCAAACCTTGGGACCCCCTCCCTGATAATTCCAGAGGGTTGGGAGCAGCGCCTTCCCAAACCTTGGGACCCCCTCCCTGATAATTCCAAAGGGATGAAGCGGCACTTTCCCAAATCTGAGGACACCCCTGAATTCCAGAGGGATGGAGCAGCGCTTTCCCAAACCTTGGGACCCCCTCCCGGATAATTCCAAAGGCTTGGAGCGACACTTTCCCAAATCTAAGGACTCCCCTTAATTCCAGAGGGATGAAGCTGCACTTTCCCAAACCTTGGGACCCCCC